CATCCACCCCCTCCACCCCCCACCTGTTCAGAGCCACAGTCAGTGGCGCTCAGCATGCTGTGAACGCCAAGCACCATGGTCCCTCTGGCCTTCTCCAAGGGCCCAGAGATCATGACCAGAGCCAGAGAGAGAGAGGAGGAGTGAGAGAGAGGGGGGGGGGGGAGAGAGCGAGAGCAATGTAATGCAACATAATTAAACCCATTGGGTAATGTGAGCAGCACCGTCGTTAGGGGGAGAAAAAAAGAGCTGTGTTTTCTAAGCCATCACCACGCTAACAGGCCCGATGGGTATGTTTTGTAAACCACTCGTACAGACCTCCCACAGAACACTCACCGTTTGTCTAAGGACTCAATGCTCCAGGACCTCAGCCAAGTTACTGCAGTCTGAGCAAGCGAAGAGCAAGGCTGTGGTTTCACATACTGTGTGTGGAGGTCTATGAGAACAAAGCTATATGCTATGGAGGGAAATACTTAAGCAATAATGCACGAGGGGGTGTGGTATATGGCCAATATACCATGGCTAAGGGCTGTTCTTAGGCACGGCGCAAAGTGGTGTGCCTGGATACAGCCCTTAGCCGTGTTATATTGGCCATATACCACAAACCCCCGAGGTGCCTTATTGCTATTATAAACTTGTTACCAACGTAATTAGAGCAGTAAAAATACAGTGGCTTGCGAAAGTATTCACCCCCCTTGGCATTTTTCCTATTTTGTTGCCTTACAACCTGGAATTTAAACGGATTTGGGGGGGGGGGGGTTGTATCATTTGATTTACACAACATGCCTACCACTTTGAATATGCCATTTTTTTTTATTGTGAAACAAACAAGAAATAAGACCAAAAAAAACAGAAAACTTGACCGTGCATAACAATTCTGACCAGTTTCCCAGTCCCTGCCAATGAAAAACATACCCACAGCATGATGCTGCAACCACCATGCTTCACTGTGGGGATGGTGTTCTCGGGGTGATGAGGTGTTGGGTTTGCGCCAGACATAGCGTTTTCCTTGATGGCCAAAAAGCTCAATTTTAGTCTAATCTGACCAGAGTACCTTCTTCCATATGTTTGGGGAGTCTCCCACATGCCTTTGGCGAACACCAAACGTGTTTGCTTATTTCTTTCTTTAAGCAATGGCTTTTTTCTGGCCACTCTTCCGTAAAGCCCAGCTCTGTGGAGTGTACGGCTTAAAGTGGTCCTATGGACAGATACTCCAATCTCTGCTGTGGAGCTTTGCAGCTCCTTCAGGGTTATCTTTGGTCTCTTTGTTGCCTCTCTGATTAACTCCATCCTTGCCTGGTCCGTGGGTTTTGGTGGGTGGCCCTCTCTTGGCAGGTTTGTTGTGGTGCCATATTCTTTCCATTTTTTAATAATGGTGCTCCGTGGGATGTTCAAAGTTTTGGATATTTATTTGTAACCCAACCCTGATATGTACTTCTCCACAACTTTGTCCCTGACCTGTTTGGAGAGCTCCTTGGTCTTCATGGTGCCGCTTGCTTGGTGGTGCCCCTTGCTTAGTGGTGTTGCAGACTCTGGGGCCTTTCAGAACAGGTGTACATATACTGAGATCATGTGACACTTAGATTGCACACAGGTGGACTTTATTTAACTAATCATGTAACTTCTGAAGGTAATTGGTTGCACCAGATCTTATTAAGGGGCTTCATAGCAAAGGGGGTGAATACATATGCACGCACCACTTTTCCGCTATTTATTTTTTAGAAATGTTTTTTAACAAGTTATTTCATTCATTTCACTTCACCACTATTTTGTGTATGTCCATTACATGAAATCCAAATAAAAATCCATTTAAATTACAGGTTGTAATGCAACAAAATTTGAAAAATGCCAAGGGGGATGAATACTTTTGCAAGGCACTGTACATGTTTTGTCATACCCGTGGTATACGGTCTGATATACCACGGCAGTCAGCCAATCAGCATTCAGGGCTCGAACCACCTAGTTTATAAAGATAAATAATTTACATGTACATCTAACTGTAACCTGTAGCCTGTAACCTGTAGCTAATTTAATTAATTATCTAAATATAAATCCACATTTGAAATTGTATAGGAATGTCTTATAAAACATTTAATTTTTAGCACATTGTTAAAGTATTGAACATTTTTCACACCTTATTCAGAAATATTGTAAATGTTATTTATTCTGGAAATATTTCGGGCAACTTTCTTTAAAAAAACTATTTTGAATACACTCCACTGTGTTATTTGCCCTTGAAATGCCATGCTATTTCAGAACGGGTGTGCAATGAAGAGATCACCACTGTCGCGGTATTCACTTAATAGACCTGTGAGACAGAGGAGTCTATACACAAGGGACAATCGCATGCGAACCTAACTGGAACCTGTAACACAACCCTGGCAGATAATAATGGACTAATACAGTGCCATCGTCGTCATGGCGATGTTGGCTTCGTTCTCTAACTACTTTAACGTCTACTTCTGTGCTGCAGTGTATATACAGTAGAATCGTGCAATGAGGTGCATTCAGTTTCACAATCGTGCAGTTATTTTGTGGCTTTAGTTCAGTTTGCGGTCCACACTCCCAATATGTAGGCCATATAGTCACACATTTATTTAGGTGTAATTAAAATGTGTTCATTCACTCTCAACTACAAGAAGAAGAAAAAATACATATTCATACTTTTACATAAAGTCAATGAAAATAGAATGTACACTACTTGAAAAATCTATTTAATTACAACTGTACTTGTGGACCTGTGAAAATCGATTTGGAATTAAAAAGACAGTATATATAATTCAACAACTGTAAATTATGTGATGTTGGTCTATGCTTTATTGAGCAAATTGGCATTGGCCATTTTCTTTATATATTTCATGGCTGTTGATGTGTAATTACATTTTTACCATCACTATAATAATGTTATACTCTTAAATTCTCAAATTCTGCTAGTGTACTACAATATATCTACATTTAAATTTTTACATTACATTGCAGCCTATTAGGCACAAGTATTTTTAGTCTTTAACAAAATATTTGATCCATCATTTGTGAAATGCTGTGCAGTCAATCTAAATATGATTTGCATGCACAACAAGGGAATATAGGTTATGTAATTGTCATACTGTGTACGTGTTGTTTTGTCATTATTTCATGTTCATCTGACCTTGTTTGTAGGCAATCCATTTAAAAGCACATCTACTTATTTTCACAAACGTCAAAGTTTACTAATGCATTCTTTTTCAATGGGCCATGGAGCGCTCTGCGGTGGCAGTTGATCAATTGCCACAATAACTGCAATATCTAATAGACTCAGATCAAACTCAATGATGCAGAAAACTAACAACTATTTAGCTAGGACGAGAATTAGCGCATGTCTGAATACTTTATTTTATGTGGAAGTGACAGTTCTGAGTAAATGCGGGTACTTCTTTTAGAGCAAATGTTTGATGTCTTTTTTGATTTTTCCTTTATTTAACTAGGCAAGTCAGTTAAGAACACATTCTTATTTACAATGACGGCCTACACCGGCCAAACCCGGACGACGCTGGGCCAATTGTGCGCTGCCCTATGGGACTCCCAATCACGGCCGGTTGTGCCTGGAATCGAACCAGGGGGTCTGTAGTGACGCCTCAATGCGATGCAGTGCCTTAGACCACTGCGCCACTCGGTCTAAGGACCCCGTTCTTAATGTGGTCTTGCCAGGAGTCCTTGTCGCTGAATAGGCCTACACTGAGAGGATGTGATATATTACAAATTAATTTACTAAGCAGTGTCTCATTAACCAGATTGGTAATTATAAAACTGGACCTTGTTTCCACCTAGTGGCAAATTATGTGAACACACTTTTTCTTCAGTAAAAATAAGTATTCCTCTCCTCACCAGAATTAGCATAACATGAAGTGATACTCTCAAACTTCTTCTCTGTATATTATATCTGCATGACTTTTGTACATCTGTACATGTACTGTCCTCTGTACTCATCTTTGGTCAGTCTTGGTAGGATACAGTGGCCCATAATATTATAGTACTTAATTTACTGATTGAATGGATGATGGACAAAACCAAGGAGATGGGACGTGTAGTGATAATCTCACTTTTAAAGTCCACAACTCATATTCAGATTTCTACTATTTCCTGATATGGCCGACATTGTACACACAGCATAATGTTTCAATTCTAAATCCATGACAGATACATACAATAAGGTATTACTTGATGAAATCCCACAAAATGATGGCCAATCCTTATAATTACGACTGTCGTCAGCCTAAATGGGGTGCGTGAATTGTATAGATGTAAATGGTTCATCACTGTTATGAGACACTTCAATTCATTGTATTATAGGCTATGCAGAGGTGACTCATCAGCCTCATCCTCAGTGTTAGACTTTATGTGGCTGTGGGGAACTCACTGATAAAGCCACACCATAGAGCAAGGCTGACATCTGCAGTCCTAACTCATGCAAGACCTCCTGTCCTCCATCATTGAGATTTACATCCTGAAATAAATTGCATTTCATCAATAACACTACAGATGTTTAAATGCCTTATCACACACACACACATAGAGAGATATTTGCACATCATAACACATAGCCATAATATTACATTTGAAATGTCTCTATTCCTTAGAAACTTTTGTGAGTGTAATGTTTACTGTTCATTTTTTGTTTATTTCACATTTGTTTATTATCTATTTCACTTCCTTTGGCAATGTAAACATATGTTTCCCATGCCAATAAAGCCCATTGAATTGAACAGAGAGAGAGAGAGCGAGAGAGATATGAAATACTAAACCATTGAAGACGGAAATGTGCTGATAAATGCATAGGCTACATCCATAGTATACATTCACAAAAGTGATTATTGATGCTACGGAACTGTACATACTGTTGCCTTTGAATTTGCATTGGTAGGCCTCTAAGTATGCCCCCCGTTTTGGGAGGTTTGGTTTGATCCAAGACTTCGTACCCGGAAGTAGTGTGAATATTTACTTCAAATCAACTGACTACAATTACAGTTTAGGTTTGTTAGAATTACAAAAAATTATATGCAAACGTACATAAGATAACTTGCATGTAAATAGCTAGTAAGCGTTTAGCTCTTCTGTAACTAGGCTATAGCGAAAAGAGGTTGAAAGAAGTTGCTAAAGCCAGCTAGTTAGCTAGCTAGCAAGCTTACTCAAACCTAAACAAAGTTTTTCACGTGTTGTCGGGGTTGTAAACTATTAGATGTGTGTGTTTTAACGCGTGGATATGGACAAGATAGCCAAAGGTGAGTTCATTATCATGTTGCAGTTACCATAAATTGCAGATAGCTAGCAAATCTGCACAACTCGAGAGAGTCATGCGTTGCAGAATTTACGCATACAACTGCCATCCTCTTTAGCCTGGGTGCCAGTCTGTTTAGCTAGCAAGGAGTGGAATGATAGCTAAACGGACTGGTACCCAGACTAGCAGCCTCTAACCTGGTCCCAGATATGTTAGGCATCATCTAACCTGGTCCCAGATATGTTAGGTAGACTCTAACCTGGTCCCAGATATGTTAGGTAGACTCTAACCTGGTCCCAGATCTGTTAGGCATCATCTAACTAGGTCCCAGATCTGTTATGCAGCCTTTAACCTGGCCCCAGATCTGTTAGTCAAACTCTAACCTGATCCCAGATCTGTTAGGCAGCCTCTAACCTGGCCCCAGATCTGTTAGTCAGACTCTAACCTGGCCCCAGATCTGTTAGTCAGACTCTAACCTGGCCCCAGATCTGTTAGTCAGACTCTAACCTGGCCCCAGATCTGTTAGGCAGCCTCTAACCTGGCCCCAGATCTGTTAGTCAGACTCTAACCTGATCCCAGATCTGTTAGTCAGCCTCTAACCTGATCCAAGATCTGTTAGTCAGACTCTAACCTGATCCCAGATCTGTTAGGCAGACTCACTGTGTCCTTGTGTGTTTTCTTTTTTCTGAATTCAGGAGCTAAATTGAAATGTAATTCTTCAATTCAGACTATTTTACTGTCAATGATTCATATGTGGAACATTTTGTATTATTTCCTCTAAGATGGGGACACAATTCCTTGAGTTGAAATGTAATTGACCCCAGTGTTGACTGCTAGCCTTAGTCCTCCTACAATAGAAAATAAAGTTGTTACTTTTCAATATATCTGACAGAGAGGAGGCTGGTTGGAGGAGCTAAAGGAGTATGGGCTCATTGTAATGGCTGGAATGGAATTAATGGAACGGAGTCAAACATGTGGTGTCCATATGTTTGATACCGTTCCATTAATTCCATACCAGCCATTACAATGAGCCCATACTCCTATAGCTCCTCTCACCAGCCTCCACTGATTTGACATGATCAATTACTCAACATGACATGTTGATGGTTTGTGTCTCCCATTAGATGTTGGGGATATTCAGTCCAGGCTAATAGACCATAGACCTGTCGTACAAGGGGAGATCTGCTATTTTGTGAGAGAATTTGACGTAAGTATTCAGCTTGCACCATTAATATGTGATTTGACCAATTTATTAATTGTCATTTGATCATTGTTAACATACAAGTTTTTGTGATTTTGAAGGAAAAACGTGGATTCAGAGAGAGCCGTTTGCTGGACAACCTGAACAAAATGGTGGTGGAGACCAACGAGCAGTCGTTGCCCAAATGTTCAGAGCACATGCATAAGCACCTCTGTGAGGCCCTCACACGATGTAAGCCCCTTCCTGACCTAGCCAGGGTATTTTTCAATTGCTAACCATTGCAGTTGTTATATGGAGTGATTGAATGCTATCGTAGTGTTCTCCAAATTACATTACTGCATTGTATTATTTCAATGTGCCTTACTGATAAGGCTGGAAAGTACTTGAATGTAACATTGTTCATTGTGTTTTCTACAGTGGAGGCTGCGAATCACATGTCACAGAGTATCCAGCAGAGGGAGCTAGAGGCAGAGCAAGTAAAGACACAGGCTCTCATCAAAGCCCATGAATTACAAATAGTGATTTAACCATTCACAGGCGTGGATTGTGATAACAGACCAAGGCCCGGTTTCCCGATAGCGATGGAATTTAGGCTTAACGAGTGTATTAACAATGCATCGTACAACGACCGAAGAACTCACATGCGTTTTCCCAAACCACTAAAGTAGGGAGGACTTTCACTAAGTGCGTCGTTGGAGCAGGTGTCGTCGATACTGATAGGATCAAAAGAAAGGCTGCACTGCTCTCAGATCAGCTTTTACCATTCAAATCTTACCTTAACATTATAAGTATTCCATAACACTGACGACAGATCAGCTGGTGCTCCTAGAGAGATATTATCACCTATAGGCTATGGATGCAAATATTAAGGCGGCTTATCCTAATGCTTAAGCCCGGCCTACCCAATGATAATGCACAAAATCACATTTTGCTCACATGTTACACATCATGAAATATATTTAGGCAAAAAATTACAAACAAACAGTAGCCTACAATTAGCCAAATAGAACTCAATTGATTGAACAAGAAATAGATGTCAATATGATTGAAATGTGTAGGCTTATGTAGTCTATACTGTATTTACCTTTTAATACAGTCATCTGGGTTCTCATTTGAAGCATCTTTTACCTTTAAATACAGTCTTTTTATCCTTCGCTTGTCTGTAACATACAAAGACATTGGTAACTTTGTAGTCAACTTCGTTCTGAAGTTATAGGCGTTCACAGAGAGACAGATAAACATCTTGAGTCAATGTTTAGCGGAGATCTTCTGTGTATAAATTCATGAGGAAGGGCAAAAAAGCACATAACAATGCACTTAGCTGTTCTAAGAGTGGTCTGAGGCAGTCGGTAAATACATTTACGTCATTTAGCAGACGCTCTTATCCAGAGCGACTTACAGTTAGTGAGTGCATACATTATTTTTTTATTTTTTTTAAATCATACTGCCCACCCTATGGGAATCGAACCCACAACCCTGGCGTTGCAAACGCCATGCTCTACCAACTGAGCTACATCCCTGCCGGCCATTCCCTCCCCTACCCTGGGCCAATTGTGCACCGCCCCATGAGTCTCCCGGTCACGGCCGGCTACGACAGAGCCTGGATTCGAACTCGGGAGTCTAAAGAGCGTTTTCAAGTGCAACTTTAGTAATGATGGTTTTGGGAAACAACTCTGGGATTTAACGATGCTCCTACAAAGGTTCTAACGATGAACTTGGTTTTAAGATGCTTTCGGGAAACCGGGCCCAGGGGTGGATCAGTTGGCACTAAACAGGAGATAGCTTTTTGAAACAGAGTACCACCCAAATCTCCCCAACAGGAGTGTTTTCATTTCCCATTTCATTTTTGTCTAGTTCGGAAATGTTCTGTCTTCGAGCCTGACCCAGATCCTTGTGTGTTGTGCACCTTAGAGCACCCAGTTGCAGGTGACCATAGACAGACGGAAGGAGGACTGGGACAAGTTTCTGAAGGAGCAGCAGCGGCTGGAGGAGGAGGTGGACAAGGAACATGCCAAGGCCGTCGGACGCCTCAGCATCATGTACAGCAACATGAAGAAGGACCTGGCCAAATTCTCCCACTTTTGATCCTCGGTGTGTGTGTGTGTGTCTGTCTGTCTGCTTGAAATTAAGTTGTAGCCTTTGATTGATGCAGTACTTAGTTGTTGGCACTAACAGAGGACTTCTGAGCGCATAAGTCAACATTTTCCAGATCACAAATAAGAAAGTGTGATTAACAACTTGGCATTTTCACAGCCCATCAACATCATCATTTTCTGTCCTAAGCACATGAAATATGTATGTCAAGTTCTGGAAAATCTCATTTTTAAAACATAAATTACATGTTTGTTCCTTGGCTGCGAAGCTTTTAACATTTTGCGATTTTTAATGGAATTTTCTAGGAGGTGTTGATAGATGTGTGTTTGCTATAGTTGGGCAGTATCCAGATTTTCATACCGTCATACCATCAAACAATTCTGGCAACAGGGATCTTGATCCAGGAGGGGATTGAATGTCTCTGCTTGATCTTGACATCTAGCCACTTAGTTAGCAAACCAAATGCATAGCTGGAGCCCTGAGCTGAATATCATTTTTGACACATCTTCGATTTCTTAGAGTTCTACTTAACTTCTAGATATAAACAGTGGCGTAGCACGGCAAGGCTATCGCCCAAACCTAGTGTTTGCCTCCAGCTGAATAAGAAAATAAACTGGAATTTGGCACAGATTAGATATTTTAAGCTACATGCGAGTGAAAATGTTTAACGTCAGAAGTGCTATTCAAAGCTGGTTTGTCAGAAGTGCTATTCAAAGCTGGCTTGTCAACGGCACAGGTCAACATCTCAAACTTTACTCACTGAGCAGTTTTCCCAACTAGGCATGGCTCACCAACTCTTCAGATTAGGGTACATTCAACCTCTGACATCAAGTACAACTAGCAACCTCTCAAAATAAGGAAATCAGAAATGGTTTTACTGAAACAAGCTCAAACAGTCAGAAGTGGACATTATTTAGTGGTGTTTTCCCAGGCCTCTTATGTACCTTGTTAAATGGAGAGGTACACTTGTAGCGCTTTATGAAGTGTTTTGTTTAAAGACAGTATATGCACTGGACAATGGCATGCTGTTTAGACTGAAGGGTGGATGGACTCCCTGACACATTCCTGACCTGCTGGGAACAGGATTCATCTCAGTAGAAAGTGACAGAACAAATATTTAAAATGGCTCTCATGAACACAATGTGTGCACGGACCCCTTACATAAGACTTCTTTGTTGCGTTGGGGGACGCAGATCTCATCAATCAGTATAAGTAAAATAAAGCGTTGCTAAACTCTGCATGGCTCAAGTGTGGTTTCTTTCTCTCGACTCAAATGTATACAACGTAGTTCAGCAATGCCAACGTCTGACAGCTGGGCTCGAACCGAGGCGCAGTATCCAATTTCAGTGGAGGTTGAAGCGCAGTCTTTTCCATTTGGCTCGCGGTGACCCCTTCCGTTCTGCCCGCGATGGCGGCCGCTGTCCGGTAACCCTGGGTCACCCTCTGTGAGTGACTGGCATCAGGGCAGGGCCGGGTTTGTTATCGTCAGAGATCTGAGAGGGCATGGCAGTGTTGTGGAGGTATAGTAGCGTAGCCAGGGGAGCCCTGACGGCCCAGCCAGCAAGAGCCAGACAGTCCATCACTATTTAACGAGGAGTGACAGTCCGGAAACCACCGCCAGTCTTTCATCTGGCCCTGTTTATTTTGTCGGTTTAGTGAGAGAACGAGAGAGAAAAACCTGCCCGGGTTCCAAAACGTCAACAATAAAGTCAGTGCTATTCATGAGAAAGTGCTCTAAGCCCTTCGCCCCTATTAAGTCCTCTGGTGTGGTGAGAATCTGGTGCACCCCTAATGTAAGTCTGGAGGATATCACACTGTACTGTACATAGCAGATGTCAAAGGTCAACGACCTTTGAGACAGTGATTGAGGTGATGGCATATATTGAACTCAGAGGGAAGCCTCCTGGCTTGCGGCGGTTTGTACTGGAAGTGCCTCTGGAGCGTGCCCTTCCCATCTCCGCTTTCCCAGATATACTCACTGTTCCGGGAAGATGAGCGTGGAGCAGGTCGGGTACTGACTGACCCCGGCGTTATCGTCCCTCCGGCCCACCGCCACGTGCCTCAGGAACCAGGGCTTGTTTTTCATCTCCTCTGTCTATCGGAGTCATTGTGTTCTTCCTGTTATGGAAAGAGCGCGGCGATACCAGTCGAGGAGCTGGCTGCCAACATAAATCGTCAAGTAAAAAGCACCCGGAGCTCGGGGTTGGGGGTGGGGGGGGGGTAGACTATGGAAACACAGATTAGAAAATGTCTGATCACAGCCTGCCTCGATTTCTCCGAAACAAAAGAGGGGCCACATCCATTGGAATGGCATTGTTGGTGTGTGTTTCAGGATGGGTTTGGGGGTTGCACTAGAGTGGAGTGGAAAGAGATTCCCTAACCTCTGAAATCACAGTCTGTGCTTTCTTACTGAATATACCTAATATAACCCATGTGTATTGGGATAGTCTCTGCTCCGTCTGCAGTGGAGAACAGACAGTGGAGTGCTGTAGCCCGCTCTACTTGTCCTGACTCCCAGCGTTCTCACACATTTCAGGACCAATAAACCCTCACTGGACTGCTGCTTCTGAAAGCCTGACAGGGGCCCTTGGCCTAATGCACTCTTCAACTTAGTCAATGAGAGTTCACTCTTTTTTTCAGCGAGGGGGCTGAAAATAAAACTATTTTAAAAGTCAGCGATGGAACAATGTGAGGTGGAGGGCATTCATTACAACAACTGCTGACATGTAGCTTCTGTATGTGGAGGGCATTCATTACGACAGCTCCTGAGATGTAGCTTCTGTATGTGGAGGGCATTCATTACAACAGCTGCTGAGATGTAGCTTCTGTATGTGGAGGGCATTCATTACGACAGCTGCTGAGATGTAGCTTCTGTATGTGGAGGGCATTCATTACAACAGCTCCTGACATGTAGCTTCTGTATGTGGAGGGCATTCATTACAACAGCTGCTGAGATGTAGCTTCTGTATGTGGAGGGCATTCATTACAACAGCTGCTGAGATGTAGCTTCTGTACATCCTCTCCCCTCCATTGTATCACATATTAGGCCTCTCACCCAATTACTGTAGGGTCCAAATGAAAACGGCAATGAACAATTGGGTATACGTCCGAGTTAATAACCTAGTATTACAACACCACAGGGAGCCGGTGAATGGGTCCTGTGGGGATGCTGATGCAGGTGGTAATATGAATTATTTGGCAGTGGCAAACGTTCACGCTGAGAATTGCTAAGTGGGGAGAATAAGCTCTCAGGGCTGTAGTATAATTTTACTTTTACATTTTGGTCATTTAGCAGACACTCTTATCCAGTGTGACTTATAGTTAGTGCATTCATCTTAAGATATGTGGTTGTCCCACCTAGATATCACAGTCATAGTAAGTACATTTTTCCTCAAAAAAGTAGTTATCAGCAAAGTCAGAGCTAGTTAGGTGAAGAAAAGTCAAGTGTTAGTTCACAAAAGGCTTTTTTAATTTTTGGGGTGCTGTGGGATTATTGATGATACTCTTTGAAGAGGTTTCAGATGTTTTCGGAAGATGGGCCGGGACTCGGGGGAAGCTGGTTCCACCATTGAGGTGCTAGGACAGAGAAGAGCTTGGACTGGGCAGAGCGGTAGCTGCCCTCCCATAGGGGTGCGAGGGTCAAGAGACCAGAGGTGGCAGAACGGAGTGCTCAGGTTGTGGTGTAGGGTTTGAGCATAGCCTGAAGATAGGGAGGGGCCGTTCCTCTTGCTGCTCCGTAGGTAAGCACCATGGTCTTGTAGTGGATGCAAGCTTCGACTGGAAGCCAGAGGAGTGAACTGAGGAGCAGGGTGACATGGGAGAACTTGGGAAGGTTGAACACCAGGCGGTCTGCTGTGTTCTGGATAAGCTGCAGGGGTTTGATGGCACAAGTGGGGAGCCCAGCTAACAGCGAGTTGCAGTAGTCCAGACGGGAGATGACAAGTGCCTAGATTAGGACCTGAACCGCTTCCTGCTCCGTCTTGTCGAGTTTGAGCTTGAGGTGGTGGACTAACATCCAAGCTGAGACATCTGCCAGGCACGCAGAGATGCGGTACAGAAGGGGGGAAGGAAAAAAGTAGTTGAGTGTCATCCGCATTTAGACATTTTTATTTTTCAGAGGGGAAGCATGGCTATCCTCAGACACTGCCAGTTTGAAAAATGAGAATGAGGTGGCATGTAAAAGCAATTAGAAAGGGATTCAAATGGAATTCTCTCACTCACACTTCACCCGGGAAAATACCTAATAGGGCATTTACATTTTGCCATGTAGTGTTTTTTGGTCGGGCACAGCTTCGCGCTACTAGTCCTGCCAAGTCCAATAAACCCAGATAAGGACCAGCAAAAACAAACACTTTCCTCGGTCAATCACAGCCAGAACAATGGCCAGAGAGGACTCAGGGAATGGCTTGTCATCGCAGGCCAGCCTCTACTGGGAACATGCCGCTTGTTGTCGTCTACTAGTTGTGGAATGTCTGGATCCTTTGCCAACTACATACCTATACAGACATTTTTTCCTTTTATATACCAGGTACTATTTATAAATAAGGACTATTTGAAAGGTTTTTCGTCACCCCCAACATCTAACCAATGTAGGTTCCACATATTTTTGTCTGGCATGCTATCGGGTCATTCCCATGGCCGGACATCTCCCTGCTATTCCTTCCTTTATACCCATTTGGAATGACGAAAGGAAAGGGGAAAAAGTGCTGTGATTCCTCTGTATCTCCCTGTAAGTTAATTGATAAGAAGATATTATCAGTGTGCCTTCAGGGGACAGTGGAGATCTATGGTTGTTATCAGACGGGTGTTTTTAGACTACTGCTCATTGTTTCGATAACAGGAAATGGATGAGCTTTTTAATGACCACAATAACAGTGACCTGTACAAGCTACCCATAATCAGTCACAACACAGAGGACTGTGAAGTGTTAGCCTAATTCTGAGCGTTTGAAGAATGCCTCTCAATCAAATACGCGCCAAACATTGTTAGACCACGATACTCAAACGCGAGCATGGCCTGAAACGGAAGGTCCATTTTTT